CCTTTAGGTGAAGAAGTTGATGATATATGTTAGTTTTCTATGAGTTCAGCCATTTCTAGCAAAGTATAAAGGACACATTCTTTGCCAATTTGGGATTTTGATGAAAGATAGTCCAAAGATTATACACCAAGTATACATGTGAGAGGAATTGACTGATATAATAGGAATTCTCAGAAATTAGTTCTTTGAAATGTCATAATCTATTTTAAGATACAAATATAGTTGGGAAAGATATTCTCTTTCAACAATTAAGCCCCATGGGCCTGTCTCGGATAAGGAAAGAAACCCCTTACCCTCGAGAGGAAGATGCTAGCCGAGATGGAGTTGGGAGCAAACATAAAGTTCTATGGCGCTTGTGTTGCCAAAAAACATCAAGGCATAAAATTAGTGATACATATTATGTGTGATTTCCCGGGTCAATGTGTGATTTGTGATCACGTTTGGGAAAGTAACCTTCAGATGCTCTTTTTGATGAAGTAAGTAGATTTCATTAATAGCATCAAGCAGATGCAAGAGCAAAAATTACAAAAGAGAGATTGAGTCAGCTCATATACAAAATATTGAGCTACAACTAGAGTGCTTATACAATCCAAAAAAATTGATAAGTAGTAGATACAAGGGCCTGGTTGAGTTAGGTAAACAAATCTTGTAAACATTTGGCTTTTAGAGTGATTTGAAGTTGAGATTCCATCGAAACATCGACAACTTCTTTCTTTCTAGATACATCAAAATATACCAGCCGGCACCATTAACCAGATTTTCATGATGGTTTTATAACCTTTCCATGAACACCAGCTCTCATAAGCTTCCTTGATATGCTGTAAGGCATGATCCAAACTTGTACAAAAATTGAGAAAAACATACTCCAGAGATCTGCTGCTGCAACTGTACTTGAGAGCAAGTGGCTGACACTTTCTTAATTCAGTTGACCTATTCTTCATAAAAACAATTATTTCAGTTGACACATAACACCTAGTAACCCTTCAGATGATCTTTCCACCCATGTCGAATACCCCTGGTTGGTTCATTGTTTGGAAGGTTTTGTTTTAGCAGGGTATCAAGGAAATTGTTTGATATAACTGTATTTATGGTGATTCAAGGGTTTATGATCATTAATCATTGTAATTTGGTGGCTACTCTTAGGAAGGGATATACGAAAATGTGCCAAAATTTGATTGTTTGTTTGAGAGGAAAGTTTAATATTAGAAGTTCTGTTTGGATAGGAAGCAATGAACCATGTCTAGTATAATATTAAATGCGCCTGGTAGGTTGGTTTTTCTGTGATAATTAGTTCATTGGTTTAAGAATGATGAAACTGCATGCTTCTTATTGTGGAAAACTGTTTGATGATTCTGTTTTCCAGTCTCTTGCATCTGCCCTTTGTTGATAGGTCATAGACATATGTTAGATTGCTATGAAGTTTACTATTGAATCCAAGATATGTGCATATCATGTACTAAATTGGTTTAAGCATGGTGAATGGACTTTTGATTAAAATTTTGTAAAATGAAAATTGGAAAACCCTTTTGTTCTTGATGTTACTTGAGAGGACCAGAAAAACCTTGTTGTTCACCTATTTGGCTTAGCAAATATAATCTCATTGTTCTGTTTTTCTATTAAGTGATTCTATAATATTGTTTGTGCACGTATTAGTTGTTCAAAAACTCGATCACAAATGCCTACTGTCTCTATATTTGGTATTGGTGATCCACTTCCTCCTTGTGTAGGAAAATACTGAGAATTTGATATATTGATATGACGGTAACTAATGAGACATGCTTTGAACTATTATCATTACACAGAATGTTGGAATTGCATATTTGTCAAAGAAATATAGCAACAGCTCACTAGCTGATTATTTCATCGCAGGTACATATATATTTTGAAAAATGGCAGATGACATTTCAAGCTTTTGGGGTCCTGTAACATCTACCAAAGAGTGGTGTGAGCTAAATTATGTCCGCTCCTCCTATATTGCAGAGTTCTTTAATACCTTATCAAATGTCCCATGCATTATTTTGGCTTTGATTGGTCTTGTGAATGCCCTCAGACAGCGGTTTGAGAAAAGGTTCAGTGTCCTTCATATGTCAAATATAATACTTGCCTTAGGGAGCATGATATATCATGCCACGTTGGGGCAGATGTAAGCACTTCCTCCTTAATTTCCCAATTCTTTCATTATGAAGTTGGTTTATTGTTTTTTATTACCCACATTCCTGGAGCATGAAGAGGGAATCCATTATTGACATGAGTACCTAAAATTTGTTAAATGCATGAGAATCTTATTCTGTCTGATTCACTACATCAAACTTTCTAAGAAGCTAATAGAATGTTAGGACTGTTGGAAGCCTAAATCTTGGTAAAAGGAGAATGACCTTAATACTCATGGGCAGCTAATGCTACCTAATTATTTGTTAACCTTGACAGGAGATCATTTATTCTCCTTTTTGGTATGTAAACTTGATAATAGAGAATTAGGATGAGCTTTTCTCTTTTTGTTGGAAGGAATTCATATCCGTATATGATACATTTATTTGATTCTGTTTTTTTTTGGCCATCTCCTTTTTGTTTCTCTTCAAACCATGTGGATTGTAAACTTCCTCTTTACATCAATCAAAAGATTTGACTAATGACTAATTGATTTATCTCCCCCT